CATTTTCAGCATAAATCTACTATGAATTTTGGGTATCAATCTAGAAGAGAATGTTTGTAGTATAAAATATATGATAATGAAATATATCTGTGGATGGACCATGTTTATTTTAGTCACCATTTCATCCTTGGCATTGAACAAAGAGCATACCATAGAAGCCAGTCAATATATATTTATTATCTGAATAACTCAATTACTTTAGAAAGAGTAAAATATTTTTAGAGAAAGAGAAATTTTGATGTGAGATTATATTTTCAAGACTGTCCTTCATTTCTCATTAAAGTGCCTGTTGGAAACTTATCTGCCTTAGTAGCTATGTAACCATGGACAAGTCATTTAATCCTTGATACCTCAGTTTCCTTATTTAGAAAATGGGCTTAATAATAGAGTTAAATTTTGGAGTAAGTAGGTTAGCATATGGGACTTGGAACATATTCAACAGATCTTAGCATTATTGTGATTGTTCCTTCCACTAAAATTGCTGCTACACATCAAGATTCTCTCCATATTGTGGACTTTCCTGAAACTGAAGTTCAATTAGTAACATCTTTAATTTAAAAACACAAGTAGCAAACTTTGTCTTGCATGTAATTTAATTCTAAAACTTCAAGACTATTCTATAGGTAGACTAAACATAATGCATTTTTATTCTTCCATTTTCATTTTTGGAGGCACCAGCGAAGATGGGTTTATTTGGACTGAATGCAAAGTAATCATCATCAATATGGTGCAGCATTTTCTCTCCACTCATTCTGTGCTCATCTCTTTTCAGTTCCAAATACCATTTGCATGGACCTGATGATGTTGAGTACGGATATTGCAGAGGAGTGATAACTTCCCTTTCCTATTGAAGCTGAAGCTTCAAAGAGAAGATTAAAGAAGTGTTTGTTATCTATCTGCACAGGCCTGATATGAAATTCTCAGAGGCATTTAGAATAAACACAACTCTGTATGTGTGCATTTATATGCTTTTTCTTTTGTGGTCTTTGCATTTTGGTTTGAATTTTTTACTTCAGACTTGTTGGACTCTCTGACTAGAGGAGAATTATTTTCAGAGTGAAAGGTAAGAATTGGAAGATGTTGGCAGAATTTAACTAAATACTTCCTGAAGCACATAGAACTCTCTGGTGTGGCATCATCTTTACAGAGAATGTGATGAAGACCAGCCACGGGATATGTTTAACAAGATGAGATCAAGTTCTTGAAGGTGTCTAGCAGAGAATAATCTGTGGTTCCCTTTATTGAGGGATTAAATTGCTCACCTTCAGTACTTTCGTTTCAGAAGTGTCCTCTATGAGGATAGAAGTGTGGTTTTGCTATTGTTGCTATTATTTTTGCATGCAAACTTCCTTTAGGGACATAGCATTAATTAATATTTACAGTAATAAAAGAAGGAGAAGAAGTAGGATAAGAAAATAGATTTATATCGTCTGAAAAAGAAGGTATTTCTGGGTGTGGTGGTGCACACCTGGAATCCAATGAGGAAGCTGAGGCAGAAGGATTGTAAGTTTGAGGCCAGTCTCAGCAACTTAGCAAGATCTCAAGCAACTTAGTGAGATGATGTCTTAAAATTTAAAAAAATAATAATTAAAAGAACTGGGGTTGTGGTGAGTGGTCAAGTGCTTCTAGGTTGTTCCCCAGTACCAAAAACAAATAAATAACCCAAAGTAGCTAACATTCTACTTTATGCTTCTCCACCTCAAGTCACATCAAGTTCAGCATGTTACTTTTATTATTTTATTTTTTATTATCAGTAAAAGTGAAAGAACGAACAAAGTTTGTCATTGGAGCAAATGCCAGATTATTGAGGAATGGCTCTGCATATTTATAGAGCCAGGGGTGGTTTGACAGTTGGCATGGGGTGCTTTTTGATTGGAGGGTAAGGATCAGGTGAGCCAGCAGGGCTAGTCTGATTGGTGGGTAAGGATCATGTGAGCCAGCAGGGCTCACCATTGGACTGCTCTTCTTGGGGGATGGGGAAGTTAGTCTTTGGAGCTGGGGCGACTCCCAACATTTATATACATTTAAATGTACAGTGTGATGTTTTGATATACATATGCATTGAGAAATGATGACCAAAAATTAATGAATATATCCATCACCTCACAAAGTTACTTTTTTTTTGGTGTGAGAATGCTTAAGATCAACTCTTTGCAAATTTCAAGTACACAATACAGTATTATTAGTGATAGCATGTCATATGTTAGATATTCAGAACTTTTTCATCTTTCAGCTGAAAGTTTGGAAGAAATATTTAATTACAACATTATCAGAAATAAAGCAGATTCTGCTATTTAATATCAATTATATAGACCTGCTACCTTTTTTTTTTTAATACTGTTAAATTGAGTTCTTTCTTTGTAACCAACCTCCTTAAGATAAAGCTTATTGGCAGAAGCAGTACTCTTGGTATATGGGAATCTATAGTGTCATCTTTCTTCTGGGCTAACAAAAGGAACCAAGAAATGAAGGCATTGTACAGAAGGGAACCGAAAATCTGTTTTAGTTGAAGTGGTGATTTTGGTAGGCAAGAGAAGCACAAAAAAAAAGGCTGAAATCATCAATAACATATTTTGATTATTTGACAATTTGCCTACAGTTGGCATGTTAGCTGCCACTTCAAGGTAAGTTCCCCCATCCCCCAGGTTCATAAGTGAGAATAATACTGGTTAGAAAAGTTCCTGCTGTTGCCATCATTAATGTTTTGGAAAGAGGAGTGTGTGTGTGTGTGTGTGCTCAAACCCTCGATTTTATTTACATTGAATTAGAAGTTGGCTAATGATAAGAAATGAGGGCGAGGACAATGCCTCAAGGGAAGAAGGAAAATAGTAGAAGATGGAAAATTGTTTACTGTCTGATGACTTGCTGCAGTGGTTGTGTCTGACAGAAAGGAGTTTTGTATAGTGGGAATCTGCACTGTCTGCGAGGTAGAGATAGACCCCTCTTACTATTATACATAACTTACTTACATTTTGGCCAGTTCTAATTTACATATGCTCTAACATTAATAGGTAAACCCCTTCTTTCTAGCTGTGGAAGCTTTCCATTTCCTAGCTCTATCTCCACTCCTTCCATCCCCTAGTTCCACTACAAAACTGTGCTGGCCTTTCTCTGCCCTCTAATCCAGGTCATCTTACATTTCCCTTCACCTGATTGTCAGCCCAGAAATGTTCTGGGAAAGGAGAGGATCAAGGAAAGAAAACCATCAGGTTTCTTTTCCACTGTCTCTACCGCATCTCTATTAATTTCCACCAAATTAACCTCTGGATTCTAGCCACAGCCTCTGCAGTGACCTCTTTCCTCTCTATTTTCTAAAGTTTTATTTTACACAGTAAAGAAATAACCTAAATACTCACTGGACTGATGCTCCTCTCTAATGTGGTCTAATGTGGCCAAATCTAATTTCAGCCATGTAGGTACCGGAAGACACACCATTATGACCTGAGTATGGCCTTTTTCTGAACCTCCTGTGGGTTATGGACCCTTTTAAAAATTTGATAAAATTCTTAAAACTGTGGAATTTATCCTCAGGGAAACAAAAAAGCTCATATATGCATTCTGAGAGGCCAAGATGAAGATAGAAAAATATCCATTCTATTTAGTAGCACAGAGGTTTTATGTACATAGCAAGAATTAAGTTGCAATGACTGTGAGCCTCGTTAGAGTTAAGTTCAGGAGTGAGTGGGAGGTGAAGGAATAAAGACAAGCCAGTAGAGAGGATGCTTTTGAATGTTCACTGTGTCATGAAGGAAAATGGGGTGGCAGTTGGAGGAATGAGAAGAGGATGAGGGAGGGCTTGTTTATTTGGATACGGGCATAAATTGCTGATGGAAAGGACCAAAGTTGAGAGGAAGAGGTTGAATATGCACAAAAGAAAAACCAATACAGAATAATGTAAGGTTCTTGTAAAGGTGGGAGAAAATGGGATCCAAAGTACAATGGACTTTTGGGGGTTACCATCACACACAGCATTGTTTTGGTGAGGAAAAAAAAATGCAAGTCAGGTTCCAAAAAACGGGACTTACAAATGATCCTTTCTACTGCTCCTGTTTTGTTAGTGGGAGACTTCAAGGACTTTCAATATTGCCAGTTGTTTCACAAAACATAACAGAGGAGAGAGAATGGACTCCAAGGGCACCATTCTTGGCTCATACACTAAAATATTAGATAACTCTGGGTCAACTGTTCATGTTCCATCTGTAAAGTGAAGAATTTAGATGTAAGAGGCATTTAAGGATGTGGTGGTGGTTGGGGTGGGTTTGGTTGTCGTAACAACTAGAAGTGGCACCTGTTATTTGCTGTCCAGGACCAGTGATGCTATTGTTCAGGATATCTCAGCAAAGAACCTTCCTGCTCAAGGCTCATGGTATCCTATGAGAAACTGTGAGCCACTGTTAGCTTCCCTCCTAGAATCTTTCTAGCTCTAAAATCCTAACAGTTGAGGAGTTGCACGGCATTAATGCAGTGTTTAAGCCCTTAGAATCTTTCAAATCTCAGGGACGACTCTTCTGTTTTTCTCCGACAAAACTAGGCCTTGGCTAGCCATCAATTCTTTATTTTCATTGGTGCATGTTAATTATACAGAATGGTGAGTTTCATTGTGGCTTATGGCAAACTGATACATGCGTCTAACACCATTTCATCAATTTCACTCCCCAGTTCCTCCTCTTACTCTCCCCTCCTCTCTCCCCTGATCTTTTTCTTGTACCCTGTTGGTCTTTCTTTCACTTTTGTGACATCCTTTTATTTTATATATACATCCCTTCCCCCCATTTTTCTCTACTAGCTTCCACATATGAAAGAAAATATCCAATACTTATCTTTCTTACTCTGGCTTATTTTGTTTAACATGAATGCCTATCTATTTTCACCCATTTTCCTGCAAATAGTAACCAACTATCTAGCAAGGTTTTTGGATTACAAATTATTGCTACTGTATGTTGACCAAAATTGAGAAATATAAATTTAACTTATCTCCATTTTTTCCTTTTATATTTCAGGTACTGTTGGGATTTTCAGCCCCAAGGTGAGTACTCTGTGACCATGAATGATTTTATACTAAAAATGTGTAGGTGGTATTGTTTATTTCTATCTCTTCTGTCTATGCTTCTTCATGGAGTGGTACTAGCCATTTCTGAGGAAAGTTAGTGGAGTGTTTAATTAACCTTCATCCTGCTGGGCCCCCCTGCCCTGCTTTTTAGCAACAAGAGGCTCTGGGCTTCCGCCTTCTGAGTGGATGGTTGCTAAATTATTTTATAGAACTGAAGCTATAATATGCTTTTTTCCCTTAAGCTTTGTTAGATACCAACAGGATCCAGTAGCATTCAAGTAAAATGGTAGCCGAGTCCATAATAAAAACCTTGGGTGGGTTCCAACTCGGCTAATCCTTCATTTGCTCCAGAAATAAATTCCACCATGTTTCATCCTTGATCACAGTGCCCTTCCACATAGTCTGTCTGGCAGCAGAGAAATGTCAGGAATGGAGCAGTGTTGAAATTCCCACTAGAACAGTGTTATCACATTTTAATATGAGTCTCACTGCAGCCTTGGTGCTTCTAATTGCTTTCAAACCATTGTTTTCCTGCTTTTGCTTGATGAACCCAGCATCTGGCATGATTCTAAAAAGTACAACAGACAGCTGTGTGCAAAATTTGAAAAAAAAAAAAAAAAGGTCAGGATTCAAACACATTTTTAAGAGGTTTACAATTAGAATATATATATTTTTAACCCAAACAGTTTGAAGACATTTCTAAAGTACTGTAACCATTCCTTCTTTGTAGTAATCTGGTTGAAAATGTCAGAAACATCATCATGAATATTAATTATCTAAAATTATTATAAATAGAGGGTTTTACCCCCCTCAGAGAATCACAAGAGTTTTAGACCAAACATGAAAATTTTTTTCACGAACTGTTTTGCTCTAAAACTTTTTAAAACCAATTGTAAACTGTTTTGTACTTTTTATTTTCTTAATGTTTTCAAATGAATCCAATCTTGGTGAGTAGTAATACATTGAAGAAATTAAAATGGTAAGTGAGGATACTAGTTTTATTAAACTTTTTATTTTCTAGCTCATATTTTGTTCAAGTCTACATAAGGGTTTCTTTAAAAACCAATTTTAAGAAATAAAAATCATGTATGTTTAAAGCCTTCTTCATACTCTTTGTAATAATGCGATGTGGTGTTATTATATACCTCAGTAAAGCATTTATAGCTGAGAACATAGATCCAGCAATAGAGAATTATATGTAATAATGCAGCAGTTTGCATGGCAAAATGTGAAATGCACTATTTAGAGAATAGTCCTATAGTTCAGGGTTTAACAGATGTTAACCAAAATCCACAGGGGGCAGAACATGATTGTGAACTGGCAGAAATGAATGGAACTGTGAGGATAAAATTAATTACCAAAGGAGAAATAAAGAATCAGTGTCAGAGATGTGGTATAGTAATGTGTTGAGAAGAGAAAATAATTTTGGAGCTCGACATAAGAGAGTCTATGGGACTAAAAAGACAAAGGGCACCACCTTACCAGGTTCTTGTCATGGTGGCACTGCAGTCATCTTCCAACACAGGGTCACTTCTACACACTCTTTCTCTCTTAAAAAGAGGGTATGGTAGAGCAGCCAAGGGGACACTCGAAAATAGTTTATTTAGGACAGAAAGCTATTTGTTCCTTGACACTGATTGAATATATGGAACAAAATCTTTGTTCATCCAGAAGTCAATATAAAGAAAGATCAAGTAGAAAATCCCATATTCTTACATATATGATGTTGTGATGAGAAAAAGAAAAAAAAAGTGTGTCACATTAGATTGGATAGAGAGAAAGGATGGGAGAGGAGAGGAGGAGTAGGGAGGATAGGAAGGGCAGCATAATAGAATAGACAATATGATTGATGTATGTACATTTCATATATGTATTATATGTCAAAATACATTCTGCTGTCATGTATGACTAAAAAAAATAAAAACAATTCGTATGGTAAAGAAAGGAAGGAAGGAAGGAAGGAAGGAAGGAAGGAAGGAAGGAAGGAAGGAAGAAAGAAAGAAAATCCCATATTCTTGACCCTAGCTTTCCTCCTTCAATGGACTTTTTTTTTTTTTGGTGGGTGGGCGGGCAGGGGGCGGTGCTAAAAGAAAGGAGTATCTCGCCATTTAAAAATATTTATTTTTTTTTAGTTGGCATATCATACTTACACCAAAAAGTGGAATTCATTGCAACATGTTCACACGTGCATCTGACATGGTTCAGTTACTGTCATTCTGCTGTTCCTCTCCTTTCCCCTCCTTCCTCCCTCTCCCTTGTTCCTTTCCTTTACTCCACTGTTCTTCTCTCTTCTGTTTTCAAAATATCTGTGCCTCCTCTCCCACCTTTTTAAACTCCTTACTACTCTCTAGTTCCACATAGGGGAGAAAACATTCAACCATTGACTTTCTATGTCTGGCTTATTTCACTTAGCATGATGTTCTTTAGTTCCATCCATTTACCGGCAAAAACCATGATTTCATTCTAAGTAAAACTCCATTGTGTATATATACCACATTTTCTTTATCCAGTTATCCATTGAGAGATAGGCTGTATCAGTAACTTGGCTATTATGAATTGTGCTGCTATATACATTGGTATGCATGTATCACTATAATATGCCGATTTTAGTTCTTTTGGACAAATACCAAGGAGTGGGATATGGTGGGGTCCTTTCCAGTCTTTTGAGGAATCTCCATTATTGCTTTCCAAAGTGGTTGTATTATTTTGCAGTTATATCAACAATGTGTGAGTGAGTGTACCTTTTCCCCCACATCCTCATCAGCATTTTTTATTACTTGTATTTCCTGAATTTAACTGGAGTGAGATGAAATCAGTATAGCTTTGACTTGAATTTCCCTGTTTTGATCACCTCTTAGCTGATAATGTGTTTCAGAAACTGGTAGGCTGAGTGGGAGAAAAAACTTGTCTATTTAAGTATATAAGATACAATAGGACATTTTAGGATTATGAAAAGAATAGGAATATGTTTAAAAAAAAAGAGAGAGAACCACTGGAAGAAGAACTTAGAAAGCCCTGGAAAATTAGGTAATGTTGGAATTGGAGTGAGAAAAGACAGAAGTGATGGCTCAAACTTTGCTAGCATTTTTTACTGTGACAGGACCCTCTGTACAGAAAGACAATGAGATGAATTTTATTTTATTAACTTTGTGAATTTGCCTAAATAAACACTTAGGTTCTTCAGGTGTTTGGACTAAATAAGTTCTGATGTAAGGAAGGAAAACAGTTTTTAAACATAAGATCCATTATTTGTAGGTGCTTTTAGTAAGGACCTACACACATTTTTCAGAAGGATATAATTCATATATCATAAAGTTCATACCTATAGAGTGTACAAGGCATGCCAAGTATACAAGTTCATATCTTCAAAGTGTACAAGTGGGTTTTGGCATAGTCACTGAGTTGGGCAACCACTTTCACTACCTAATTTCAGAACATTTTTACCTTCTAATAAGAAACCCACACCCATCTCAAAGCCCATACCCTTCACTGCTGTTTCACTCTCTCACTGCAAGAGTGTTGGGGATTAGTGTGTCAGCATCTAGCACAGTTCTTGGACATAGTAATCACTGAGAAATGTAATTTGGATCTATAATCATGATATGATAATGATATACCTTTCCCTCACATTTCCACCTAAGTTGTTTTATTAGCTCACTGTCAACTTCCTAAATGCTGTTCAGTTAAAGATGAGAAAACATAGGAAAAATAAAACATAATCCCAAGAATATATTACATTGATGTAGAGAAAACATAAATGGAAGAGTTCTTTTAATAAGCTTAAATATAATTGGAGAACATGAAAACATTTTTTATTCTACATTAAGATGTGGGATTGCTTTGATAATTCAAGTTGTGTTTACTTTAAAAACTTTTTTTCTGCTAGGTGCAATGGCACATGTCTGTAATCCCAGAGGCTTGGGAGGCTGAGGCAGGAGGATCACAAGTTCAAGGTCAGCCTCAGCAACTTAGAGAGGCTGTCTTAAAATAAAATATAAAAGGGCTGTGGATGTGGCTCATTGGTTAAGTGCCCCCAGATTCAATCCCTGGTACAAAACAAAAACAAAACAAAACAAAAAACCACAAATAATTTTTTTTAAAAACCCCCAAAAAACAAAACACTTTTTTTTTTACTCAGTTTTTCACTTAAAGTTACAAAGAAAAGCCAATGGAATCTTTGCCATGGAGTTATTATCATTACAGTAATCAGATATTTGAAAGATGATATTGGTCTCTGTCTAAATAACAGTATCAGTTTTGCCCTTTAAATTTGATGACAGAGCACTTTAAAATTATGGAGCAAAATGGTTTCTTTCATTTTGCTTCAATTTCTCCTTTTTAATAAAATGAGTTAATTATTGGTATTTTTGTTTAATAAGTCAAAATTTCACTTATAAGGTATGATGTTTATAATTCAAAATTTATTGTTATAAAAATATATTCATGAATATTAGGTAGAATTTCCCAGCATTGATCCAGAATCTAAAATAAATGATATGATATTTGAATAAAAATTTAGGAGAGACTGTAGGAATATTATGAACATATATAAAAAGGTTTGATCTTTGTCCAAAGGTGATTCATGTCACATTTGTGATAGTGGTAAACATGTGCCAATCCAGTTTCTTGCTGATTTAAGGATTCTTTGAGTATCCACATGGATGATGTAAAAGGTTTAAAAAAATTATCCAGTATATTTTAAGACCAAAAAATTTTCTTTGTGTAGCTTAAAAATCTAATTTTGTAAAGGCAAACTTATATCCATGTCAAATTAAATTAATGCCTAAAAATATAGCTTGACAAAAACAAATAGTGCAAAGTGAATAAAGAAAATGTTATTTAAAAGCCACATTGACTATAGATTAGAGGATATTTAAGAAGCTTATCAAAAAGTACATGGCTTTTATGTGCATCTAAGTCAAACAAACTATTAGAAATGACATCTATGAGAGAATTAGGAATTTAAAGACTGGTTA